ACTATATTTTGACTTCTGTTATGATTAATCAAATTTTTGACCCTCTTAGGATTAGGTTCCGAAGGAATGGGCCTATATTGTCCATATCGTATAGGTCATAAATAAATAAGACATAATATAAATATCGCGACGTGTCAGGTTTGGACTATATCGACTGCTTCCTTTACTTTATATGAGGTATGTGCTAATTTTTAGAAAATGTTAAAAATTTGTGCGACCGAAGTATTCCATGTTCATACCTCATCTAATACAGATAAAACCAGTAAGGAAAGCTCAAAAGTCGGGCGGGGCCGACTATATGATACCCTACACCACTATGCATATTTAGTAGAGCTCTCGTAAAAAGGTTTCAGAGCTCTATGAGATATTTGGTACAAAATCAAAATCTATCTAATTCTATCGTGCATTTTACGAACTATAGCTATCTCTGAACCGGGTTTCTCCAAATTTTACGTATTAGCTTCTAGACTGAATTCGGTCTTATGTACGAAAATTCAGGTGATTTGGGCTGATATTGACCATTTAGTGCACATTTAACCCGAAATCGGATGAAGATATATATGGGAGCTATATCCAAATCTGAACCGATTTCGATAAAATTTAAAACAGCTATTCCTGTGCTCCATCTAATACCTGGTACCAAATATCACGGTTGTGGAGTGAATATTACGAATGTATGGGACTAAAACACTAAATCGGATGAAACATATATGTGGTTGCTATATCTATATCTGAACCGATTTTCACTAAATTTGATATACTTGCTTCTAGACTGAATTTGGTCCGATGTACTAAAATTCAGTCCATTTGGACTTATATCGGCCATTTGGTGCACAATTAACCCGAAATCGGATGAAGATATATATGGGAGCTATATCCAAATCTGAACCGATTTCGATAAAATTACAAACAGCTATTTCTGGGCTGTATCTTATATCTGGTACCAAATATCATTCTTGTGGAGTGCATATTACGAATGTGAGAGGCTTAAACACCAAATCGGATAAAACATATATATGGGAGCTATAGCTGTTTCTGAACCGATTTGTTGTATTTGCTTTAAGGCTAATCTCGGTCACATGTGCCAAAATTCGGGCCATTTGGGCTGATATTGGCCATTTGGTGGTCAATTAACCCGAAATCGGATGAAGATATATATGGGAGCTATATCCAAATCTGAACCGATTTCGATAAAATTTAAAACAGCTATTTCTGTGCTCCATCTAATACCTGGTACCAAATATCACGGTTGTGGAGTGCCTAGTAGGAATGTAAGGGACTTAAAGATCAAATCGGATGAAAGATATATATGGGAGCTATAGCTATATCTGAACCGATTTTCTCCAAATTTGATATACTTGCTTCTAGGCCGAACTCGGTTGGGTGTGCCAAAATTCAGGTAATTTAGACTGATAGTAGATATTTGGTGCACATTTAACCCGAAATCGGATGAAGATATATATGGGAGCTATATCTAAATTTGATCCGATTCTCACCAATTTCAATAGGGTTCGTCCTTGGGCCAAAAAAATATTGTTTGGAAAATTTCATCTCAATCGGATAATAAATGCGACCTGCATTTTGTTCACAAGAATACATGGACAGACGGACGGACGGACAGACGGACTGACAGGCATAAATCGACTCAGAAAGTGATTCTATGAAGGTTCTCAAAAGTAAGTATGGGTCTATCTCGTTTCCTTCTCCATGTTACAAACAAATGCACAAAGACATAATACCCTTACCACTATGTGGTGTAGGGTATAAATATTGGTATGGGCAAAATTACAAGAAAATCGAAAAGCTGTATCCAATTTTATTCGAAATCATAAATTCCATATTCATTTCAGGTTTCTGGTTGAGAGAAATATTTAAATATAGCAAGTTGTAAAGTACCGTTGACGTGTTTCGCAAGTCAAGATAGATAAAAGTATAGAAGGGTTAGCAGCTATATATCATCTTTACAACAGATTTTGTGTTACCAAAATGATGTTTATTACGCTTTCTTTGAGCGTTTGGGTTTTCAAAATCTTGAACCCTGTATGGGGGAGGTACCAAAAGAAACGGTCCGATCCCTCCAACTTGTGTTTATGGAAATATTGAGATATACCAAGTCTGAATGCAATCGGATGGTATTTTCGCGTTTTATAAGCTTCATGGATACTCAAAATTTTGACTTATTGTTGGGGAGGTATCAGAAGGAGTGGACCAATATATTCCATCTTCACACCAAACCTGGGATGTGTTTGATTTGAAGAGAACCGGATGGTTATTTTGGATTTTATGATCGTTTTGGTTATTCAGAATTTTGACCCTTTGTGGGGGAGGTACCAAAATAAATTGTCCGATCCCTCTCAACATTCTAGCAGATCTTGCGTTCATGGAAATATTGAGATATACCAAGTCTGAATGGAATCGGATGTTAGTTACTAGTTTTATGAGCTTCATGGATATTCAAAACTTTGACCCTTTGTGGGGGAGGTACCTGAAGGAGTGGTCCGATATTTTCCATCTTTACACCAGACCTTAAGCAAATAAAAATATTGTGATTTTAAAAATATTCCTGAAAAGTAAATATTCTCAAAAGTATCAGGATTTCCATTAAAGTAGTCGTAAATAGTCAATATTTTTTTTAAGTATGATCTTAAAAATCCGTGGGCATTAGTTGGGAAAGCGGCTTCCAAAATTATTACAAAATATTCTGTAAGTACATTTTATTTTTTTAAACAAAATTTAGTATATATGTTTAGGACTTCCTTAAAATATTTAAATCGTTCTCGTTTATTAATCAGAATGTCCTTCTAAAATTTGTCAAAAATTCCAGGTGTGATCAGTAGATCCTTTAAGGTATTCTTAGATGGACTTTTAAAACGGAGGACTTTTAAAACGTTTTCGAAAGTTCTACCCTTTTTTTACCCTACACCACAAGGTGGCCAGGGTATTATGTCTTTGTGCATTTGTTTGTAACAGGCAAAAGGAAACGAGATAGAGCCATAGTTACTTTTGAAGATCACCATAGAATCACTTTCTGAGTTGATTTATGCATGACAGTCCGTCGGTCTGTCCATGTATTCTTGTGAACAAAATGCAGGTCGCATTTATTATCCGATTGAGATGAAATTTTCCACACAACATTTGTTTGGCCCAAGGACGAACCCTATTGAAATTGGATATATCAAATGCAGCTCAAAAATACCTTTGCTAAATTTTATCGAGATCGGTTCAGATTTGGATGTAGCTCCCATATATAACTTCGTCCGATTTACCTTTTATTGTGCACCAAACGTTTAATATTTGTCCAAATGAAATGGAATTTGGCACACACGACCGAATTGAGTGTAGAAGCTAGTATGCCATATATGGTGAAGATCGGTTCAGATATAGTTATAGCTCCCATATATATTTTTATCTGATTTCAAATTAATTTTGCACCAAATGGGCAATACAAGTCCGAATTTAAAAAATACTCATGATTCGTCATATTTAGTCCTTTGAACTTTAAATTATACTTATAATCATAACGTGTATGATTGAATTCTCCCATAAAAACTTTTAATTGTTATGTGGAGCTCTACTAAATTAGCAAAGTGGTGTAGGGTATGATAAAGTCGGACCTGCCCGATTTTAGGACTTTCTTTACTGGTTAGTCCTTTAAATAATCTTAAAAATACACTATTTTCGAATGTATGTCTTTGTAAACGTGCTTATCCTTTGATATTGACTATAAAAATATGATTTGAAATGTTTTACACGTTCTGCGACAATTCCAAGGAAATCATTACAATATTAAGTATTTCTGTTCAGGAGTTTTTTTAAAATAGAAAAATCATTCACGTTTATTAGTCAAGATAGAAATAAAATTGTAAACATTATCATCGTTCTCCACTAATAAACAAACGTTGATTTTATAAAAACAACAATAATGGGATTAAGCCTGATCAAGAACAACAAAAAATATCCTTGATTATTCGCCTGAGAGTAATTTTTTTTATAAATGCCAAGGACATCCAGACGGTCCTTCAAAATATTCTAAAAACAGCACAATTTTTGATTCAAAGACCCTTCAGATATTCTAAATATTCTTAAAAACTACAAAATTTTTTTGTCGGGACGACTTTACTAATATAGTTCCCACTTTTTGGCCAGAATGTCCTTCAAAATGATGTTGGCAAATCTAAAATTATTGGTCAGGGAGTTTTTGAAACTATCTTCGATTATTACTAATTTTATTTTCTGAATTTGAATCAAAAATCTAAAATTATTGGCCAGAATGTCCTTCAAAACACTCCTAAAAAAATCGATAATTTCTGCCCAGCAGGACCTTTAAAATAATTACAAAAAACATTATTTTGTCAAAGATATTAGACAGGATGAAATTTCAAAGTATTCTTCAAGAAACCATTTTTTTTTTTTTTTGTTAAGATGACCTTTAAAATGTTGTTAAAAATGTACGACTTTTCATGAAAAAATCTTAAAAATCCAAGATTGTTTATCATTCTATTTTGAAAATATTACTAAAAATCGGCGACTTTTGGCCAAAGAGTACTTTGAAAAATTCTTCAAAATTCAAGAGTTCTGTTCACAAGACGCTTAATTATTGTAAAAAATCCTGTCAGGACGTCCTTTAAAATATCACTAAAAAATCCAAATTTTTGGCCGGAAGATCTATCAATAAAATTCCTTAACAATTCTAAAATTAATGAAGAGGTCTGTTTTTAACTTTACCTTTGACCTTTTTTCCTTTTTTGTTAATTTATTGGATATTTAATTTGTAATTGTATTTCATGTGTTGTTTTATTGTAATTCAAATCTTTGTTGTTTGTGTGTATGTACAAATGTTTTAATTGTTTAATGTATAATTTTGTTTGTTGTAACTTAATTTGTTTAATTTAGAATTTGTTTTACGTTAATTATGTACAATGTTGTAATTCATTTTTTTTGGTGTTTGTACAATGTTAATGTTGTTTTTTTTATAATGTAATGTTGTGTAATGTAATTTAAAAATAAAATAAAATGTCACTTCTTTCTTCACTGGGCACTTGTCGATGATTTTCGCGGGCACTTGTCGCTTCACGGGGCACTCGATGATTTTTATGTTGTCGCTCTCAAGATGGTTGACCAACTGTCCGGGAATATTCTGCTTTGGGCTGCCAGAGCTGTTGAATATTCCAGGATTTATTGGAAAGTGCTTGGCTAGCGGCAGCACGTATGCATGTATTTGTTAATATGCACCAATGTACATATTGTGTACCGCTAGCCGAAAAATTTAAAATTCAAACGCACAGTAGCGACCAAAAGTATGGTCACTGACCATACATTCTCCGCCCCCATGACTCCGTGCTAATATGCGTCTTTTCACATCGATGGCATGTTCCTAATTGGTCCAGCGAAGACATATCCCAGGTTAGTGTTGTACGCCTGAACATCACCCACTCCAGCCGCGGTACATCCATCTTTTCTTATGGCAGAATACGTGTCTGCGCCTAATTCCAAGTCTATGGGTACATTGCTTCTAGGGTCTGGGTCCGCAAGTGCTTGCTCTGCAAAATATGAGGTTGGGTCATCTAGTATGGGGTCTGAATAAATTCGTCTCGGCAGCTCATCTGTCACAAGAGCATTGACCTTCAGCGCCCATGTTGAATTAGATCGCCGGCTCATTATTTTGAAGGTCGTAAATCGACGATCTTGGTATAAAAATGACCTCAGACCCATCCGTTGGAAGGTAGAGTACCCTATGCGGGACATTACAGCTGACTTACTCAGCAACGCCCGTATCGTATAGTGGGTGTCTATATCTTCGGTGGTAACTCGCAGCATGACAGTGGGTACAAAGACGAGATCCCACGAAAAAGGCGGCTCGTTTATTTGAGCGGGCTGTAGGCTATCCTCGAGCTGTGGCGCCCCATGTAGCATGGTGTGGTGTCTATAATCGCATCGTCGGCAACCCGTAATGCATGGACAATCGGGGGCCAAATGCGATCGTGCCAGACAGTTTCGACAGTATCCCCGCCGCTCAGTGGTTTCGTATCTCTGATACGGAGTTTGGTCTTTAAACCGCTGGCACGAGCTCAGAGCATGGTCCTGCTGACACAGTCCGCAGGAGTATTGCCAATGGCCTGGCCGTGCTCCTCTAGCTCTGGGGGCTGGTCTATTTTCAGAACGGCTACGGTGACTGCGATCAGGACTCGGGCGGCGTTCGAAGTGTCGGGCTGGGTTGCTTCTATTGGGTACTGGTGCTGGTTCGCGGGCTGGGTGGGCTTCTGGTGGATGTGGGTTGCGGTCGGGGCGTTGCGGGCTTCTTTCTGCAATTAAGCGACGGGATTCTCTCCTTTCAGGGCGTCTTGGGCTCTCTTCGTCTCTCCAATTCTGGACTGGTAAATATGCTGCCATCTGTGAAAAAGAGAAGAAGGAGTACTAATTCTTTTGAAAGGAGGGGTCCGACTAATTAGTCGGAAAATAACTTGACAACCTTCGTTATGGGTCGGCTGATGTTGCCACCAGCAGTTTTTATGTCTACTACTCTAACATTTTGATCTGTTCCCTGATGGGTCTTGATAATTCTCCCGAGTTTCCACTCATTTGGTGCCAAACGTTCGTCTTTAATCACAACTAAGTCACCTTCTTTAAGGTTATCCTTTTGATATTTCCATTTCGTACGTCGATGAAGCTCATGTAAATATTCAACCTTCCATCGATTACACAAATATTGGGAGATTATTTTTAACCTTTTCCATCTATTAACCAGACTAATATCTTGATCAGAAACGTCGGGTTCGGGCGGAGCTAAAATCGCGGTACCGATTAAGAAATGACCTGGGGTTAAAGGCGCCAAATCGTTAGGATCTTCGCTAGCTGGACTCAAGGGTCTAGAGTTAAGACATGCCTCTATGCGGGTTAAAATTGTAGTGAATTCTTCGAAAGTAAAGTTCATTTTTGGCATGCTTTTTCTTAAATGATTTTTAAAGGATTTAACCCCGGCCTCCCACAAGCCACCCATGTGCGGAGCGCCAGGCGGGATAAATTTCCAACTAATATTTTGATGAAAATTGTTTTGAACTGTACTATTTTGTATATTTTTCATGAAGGCTAGTCGATCCCGCTTTAACAGATCAACTGCTCCCACAAAATTGGTCCCGTTATCGGAGTAGATACACGACGGACAGCCCCGTCGGCTAATAAATCTAGAAAAAGCGGCAAGAAAGGCATATGTCGACAAGTCACTTGTGGGTTCCAAATGAATGGCTTTGGTAGCGAAGCAAACAAACAAACAGACATAACCTCTCGTAATGAAGCAGGCTCTGCCAGAATAACTTTTAATATTGAAGGGTCCCGCAAAATCTACGCCTGTATTCATAAAGGGTCTTGCCAAGAGAGTTCGTTCAGGAGGTAGTGATGCCATTATTTGATTCTGTGTGCGTTTCTTGTAAATTAAGCATATTTTGCAATTATGTATTGTTTGTTTTACCAACGATTTTAGTCCGAATATCCAGAACTCGGACCTTAATAATCTGGTCACCAACTGATTACCGCCGTGCAATGTGATCTTGTGAGCAAAATCTACTAATAGTTTGCTTAATATTGCTCCATGTGGGAGTATTATTGGATGCCGTTCATTGTAAGTTAGCGCAGGCGATTGTACTAATCGGCCATTAGATCTCATGATCCCTTTTGAGTCCAAAAAAGGATTGAGTGTCAGTAATGAACTAGAAGACGATATTCGAACTTTCCTTCCAAGTGATTCATAGTCGGCTGCATAAAAGAATTTCTGGGTATGAATTATGCAAGCACGTTTACCATCCTGAATTTCTTCAGCGGTGAGTTCCATTGAAGAGGTTCTAAGATTTCGTCTATTTATTCCAGTGTTTTTCCAAAATCTTAACGCATATGCATATGATCTGTAAACCCTTGTCAAAGATGAGTAATTTTTTAGAGGGTCACTTTCTTCTTCGAATAGAGTCAGTGCTTTTAGTGTTTTTGCTTCTAAGTTAGTATCATCGGGAATTTTATGTGCTGGCCAACGAACTTTAGGAATTTTGAGCCATTGCGGTCCATGCCACCAGAGTGTGTTGTTTATAAGTTCGCTGGGTGGGCATCCGCGACTGGCAATGTCTGCGGGGTTATCCTCAGAGTCTACGTGATTCCATTGTTCGGCTCCACTATTTTCTAATATATCAGATGTACGATTTCCCACAAAGGCTGACCAATGGCAAGGTGGTTTTTTCAACCAAGCCAGCACGATTGTTGAGTCTGTCCAGTAATGAACCGAAAAGTTTGATATCTGGAGATTGTTCAATATTGTTGATGCTAACTTCGCCAATAGGACGGCTCCACAAAGTTCTAATCTGGGAAGTGAAATTTTTTTGATTGGAGCAACTCTTGTTTTTGCAGTAAGCAATGACGTTTTGATTTCGTTGTCTTCATTCTGTAGTCGGATATATAATGCTGCTGCATATGCTTTTTCCGAGGCATCGCAGAATCCATGAATTTCTACAACACTATTTTTGGAGTAATTTATCCACCTTGGAACTTTTAAATGCTTAATATCTGCGCTATGTTTAACAAAGTTTTGCCAGTTCAGAAGTGTCATGGTTTTCAGAGTGTCATCCCAGTTTATCTTATCAAGCCAAATTTGTTGCATAACTAGTTTGGCGGTTACTACAACGGGAGCAAGCCACCCACATGGGTCGAATAATTTGGCAATTGTTGAGAGAACTTCCCTTTTTGTATAAGCTCTTTTAATGTCCATTGAGGGTGGAGTGAAATTGAAAAAGTCTCCAGCAATGTTCCAACGTATTCCAAGTGTTTTTGTCGAGGCGTCATCGGAAATATCCAGAGAATTCACTGGGCTAAGCTTTTCTTTGGGCAGGTCATTTATTAATTTTGGATCATTAGCAGTCCACTTCATTAGCTCAAATCCAGCCGATTCCATAGCAGCTGCTAATTCCTTGCGAGATTTTATGGTCTCTTCGACCGAATGACCTCCCGCTAAGACGTCATCAACATAAAGGTTTTCCAAAATTACTTTCGATGCTAGTGGATAAGTGTCTTTTATGTCTTCAGCTAATTGAATGAGAGTTCGAAGAGCCAGGAAAGGTGCACAATTAACCCCAAATGTTACCGTTAACAATTCATAATCTTGTATAGGGTCAGACGAAGATTTTCTGAATAATATTCGTTGAAACTTTGTTTGACTAGGGTCCAATAAAATTTGCCTGTACATCTTTGTAACGTCAGCATTATAAACGTGTCTGAAAAATCTCCACTTTAGTACTTGTAATACAATATCTTGCTGTAAAACCGGACCTGCATATAGGTTGTCATTGAGACTTCGCTTGTTTGACGTTGGACTTGATGCATTGAAAACAACTCGTAATTTTGATGTAATCTTTTCAGGTCTTATGACTGCGTGGTGTGGCAGATAATAGTTTGGAGTCTTGTTTATGTCATTTGAAGATATTTTTCTCATATGCCCGAGTTCTAGATATTCAAGGATCGTGCTATCGTATAATTCCTTTATCTCCGGACTTTTCATAAGCTTTCTTTCCATTCTATAAAATTGGGCTAAAGCAATATTTCTTGATTCTCCAATTTCTTCGCATTTTTGAATGGGAGGGTCACAATATATCGCCCTTCCGAATTCCTTTTGGTAGTTTTCAAGTAATTTTGTTCACATAATACGTCTTCATCTGATCTCAAAACCTGTTTTGGGGTCTCTTCCACCTCCCAAAAACGTGTTAATATTTTTTCCATCGATGTAGTATTGCAAAGTGATATTTGTCTCTTCTTTTGTGATTCATCCTGTAAGGGTCCGCCAATTATCCATCCAAACACAGTTTTTTGAGCTAATAAGGTACCAATCGATTTCATAGGTGTTCCAACTGTAAAGATGAGTGGGCCTATGTCCATCCCTATTAGGAGATCAACTGGTTGGCTGATGTAGAACTTCGGGTCGGCTAATTCCAAGTTCGTAGCGTCATGCATCTGTGTTCTTTCAAGGGTATATGATGGCAAGTTTGACGGAAGCGATTTCAAAACAGGTGCCCAAACTTCTAACTTGAAATTTGGGTCAAGTCTGGAACGTAATTTAAATACGCAAGCTTTAGCCGAAGTTTCAGAAATGAGTCGATTAATTCCTGTAACATGCACTAGGTTTCGTTTAGTGGGCAACCTTAAACGATTCTTTAATTTCTCAGTAACAAAGGTAGATTGTGATCCAGAGTCGATTATAGCTCGTGCGTCGTAATAATGACCATTCGCTTCGATTTGAACCATGGCTGTAAAAAGTAGGGTGTCTCCTGGACGAGGATTAACTTTACCGTCATCCTGTAGTGTCAAAGTTGTTATATTCGCTGTTTCTTCATTTGATGTGGACTGTATTAGTGTTGTGAGAGCGGCAGCACTGGTGCTAGGGCGTGCTTCCTCTTGTGTTGTAGTTCCCTTATGTAACATAGTATGGTGCTTCAAATTACATGTTCTGCATCCAAAACGACTTTTGCAATCTTTCACGCCATGGTTAGACGATAAACAATTGTAGCACAGGTGTGCCATTTTGACCACATGAATCCGGTCATTTACGTTTTTAGCGATAAATTGTGGACAATCTCGTATGAAATGATTAGATTTGCAAATTTGGCACGTATTTTGGTACTGAGTCTGGGATTGCTGCTGAATGTTTGCATTTTTACCCTTGTAATTTTGGGCTTTCTGGTTAATATTCGCTTGAAAACTGCTTGTAAATCTCATTTTCTTTGTATAATCGTTTCTGCTCTGAGTCTGCTGATTTGGTTTTGACAAGTTTGGTTTTATGTTCCCTACTGATTCAAGCGTTTTGAATTTGTGGGTCAAAAAATTGTTAAAAGCTTTCCACGATGGTAGAGTCTTGCAATCTTCTATAGTATTTTCGAATTCTTCTAAAAAGGTTCTTGGAAGTTTGCTGGAACAAAGATATATTAATATAGGATCCCAGCCTGCTACTTCAACATTTTGTGTCTCCAAAATTTGAATGCAGCTATTTACTGTTCGCTGTAATTTCTGTATGCTGTAACTCGAATCAGTTGAAACGTTTGGTAAATTAAATAGTATTTTTAATTGCTCGTTCACCTGCATTCTCTTATTCTCGTATCTGTCGGTTAAATTCCTCCAGGCTAACTCAAATCCCTCGTTTGTTAGAGGAACATGGCTTATAACTTCTCTAGCTTCACCAGTTGTTTTCTGAGTCAAATGAAAAAGTTTTTCAACATTGCTCAATTTGGAGTTCTGGATGTAAATGGCGGTAAATAAATCCCGAAAAGTTGGCCAAGTATTGTAACTTCCTTCGAAAGTATCCGTGTCGCAGGGTGGTAATCTCGAAGGTGGGGTAAATTCAGTTTCCTTTTGAGAAAATTGGGTCTCGATTCTGAGTTTTTCCTTTGCTTCATTTTCTTTGAGATTTTGGATTTGTCCATTGATTATTCCTATCGCCTTTTTGTAAGTGTCGATTGCCTCTAAGTAGTGGGTCCTCAGTTTAGTTTTATCAACCGGTTTTTCTCCTTCCTCTGGAATAAAATCTCGGCATTCTAAATACGCCTTTTTTACTTGGTCATAAAATGAATTTAGCTCCACTCTCGATGCCTCCAATGTGTGTATGTCGTCATCTGTGCCTGCGATGCTCACAATTGATGCGTAATCCTTCAGATCATTCACGCAATTTGCAAATTTCTCACGGTTGAGTTTAGACATCTTTGTTGTATCAAGGGCCAGACTTTAGAACAAATTTTTGTATGACAAGAATTTGACAAAATTGGCCGATTAAGGACAGATCTTTCTTGTATTTGGATACAAACAAATCAATGATTTTTCTTGGCAAAACCTTGAATGTTACTTTCCAAATATAATTTTAACGACAAGTGAAATTTTAATTGGGAATCGCAATTTCGAATGCAGAAATTTTACAATACTTGCTAGCAAATACGTTTCAAGAGGTCAGAAAAATATTAAAAATTTCGACGAAATAAATTGAGAATCCAAGTTCGGCAAATCAATAAGCATTTATATTATTATTTCCGAAAATAGTAAGTATTGCGTAGAAGGGTCAGTCAAATCGACGATATAATGGCCAGATTCAAACAAAATATCCGTTTTTACTATTTAAAAATTTTCAAAAAATAATCGCAGAAAAAATGTGTGCTGGGTTGTCACGAAAAAGTACCAATTTTCAAAGAGAAAAATCAAAAAATTTGCAATAAAATCGCTGAATTCCAATTCTAGGAAGATTTTATTGTGTAGAAACAAATTTTTTTTAATAAAAGAGTTAACCAAAAAGAATTTACATGTATTGGAGTTTCCCAGCAAACTGTTTGACAACAAAAAAATTTGGGTCAAAAAATTTAATTTTTTTTGCAAGCGAGGGTTCACTTTTTCAGCAAATTCAATTGGAAATTATCCAAATATAAAAAACTTTTGAATATTTGTCTGAGTCAACAAATACTCTATAAACGCTAGATTTGGATAAATAATTTTTTGGCAATTTCTTCTTCCAAGTTTCTTCAAAAATTGTAATTCCACAGAATTGTGATATATTTAGTAATTTATGCGGCAAATAGGTTTCCAAATTGTTTAAAATTTTAGATATATTTTTTCTTTCATAAAAAGAAATATTGTGGGTCGCAGATTAGATTATCGCAGCACCGATTTTTTAGAATATTATAGAGAATCAGCAAATATTTCTGGGTCAAGTGCCAGCCGTTCACCAGAATAAAAATTCCAAAACGTTTCCAAAAATTTTAAAAAAATTGTTTAAAAAATATATTTTTTTGAGACTTCGACAAAAATGACTTATTCGTAAAAACTGTTGAGTCAGAAATCGTATCTTAAGTTTTCAAATTTGTTCATTCAATCAAAATTCCAAAAAGTAGATAATTTTGTCGAAAATCCAAAAAAAAATACGCATAAATGTAAAAGTGTCTCTCCAGAAATTTTTCTATGTACCCCAAGATGAAATGTATGATTTAAAAGTGATATGGATTTTTTTTTTTTTTCCAAAAATTTTGAGAAAAAATACCAGAAAAGATAAGACGATGTATTCACAGCCTCATAAGTAATTATGTTCATATGTAAGATTAAAAAATTTGACTTTGCAATTTTTAAGGTTAGTTAACCTTAAAAATGTTGGTGCTTTTCCGCCAAAAGAAGTTTATGATAACTTCTTGTATGTTTAAAAGACAGGTCTTATTTCCAAGAATTCCCAAAATAACTTTTTCTCAAAATGGCGTTTATAATTATTTAGTGATATTCCGATGTGTCTGTGTTGATGCAAAATATTTCTTGTGGATGTATGTATGTGTCAGGGGGTAACCAGCAATTTTTCAAAAGAAAATTTCCACACAAAATATGTACGATAGCAAGGTTATTTGTATTGGTAAATTATGACGCCAAAAAATTGCGCCATAATATTCCACGTAGATTTCGTGTTGTTTTTGGTATGTAAAATATTTAGCAAAATGTCTGATAATTTTTCTAAGTTGTTGTACCGCAATTATGACGCCATAATTTGCGCCAAAATTGGTTTCCAAAGATCGCAAGTTAAATGTAAATGGATTATTCCACAAAACGAGAGGGCAAGTTTCCAAAAACAAGCATTGATTTTTTCAAAAACATGTAAATAAATAAGTTTTTTTTTTTTCAAAATGGCCCCAAAATTGTATATTTAATAAGGGTGTGTTGATTTGTCAAAGGTCCCACTGTAAACGGACAGACAAATAAGTTTCAAAAGAGAGTCTTAACTTTCCAGCTTTCCACAAAACGACGGAGAGAAATTCCAAATTTTCCATAAAATGTTCTCAATTTAACAATTTACGGGTTAGTTTCCATAATTTGGAAACTATTTTCCACAATTTCCAACTATTTTTTGAGAGAAATCTAGATGTTTGTGTGTATGTGTAAATAAGGACGTATTTGTGTATTCCCCAGGTCTAAATAAAGGGTCAACATCAGTCCAAGATCCCAAATAACGCTGAGTTTGGGTCAATTGTGTCAATGGGTGTCAAATTATATGTAGAAAACAGCGTTTCTATCATCTAAAGGCACAGTGTCGGTGTCAAATTTAGCCGCACACTGCAATCCTTTCTCGATTCCACGCTCAAAAGCACAAAAAAATTTCATTCGTACTCACTTTGCCTCTCTTTGTAAAGTTGGGAATGTGTTGTGTTACCCCTCGGTTCTTCTTCTTCCTTCTGTTGAGTCTGGGTTGTTTTGTTGGTTTTTGTTTGTTATACCCGAACCGTTGTGTCTTTTTAATTGTCGTTTTGCTTGCTGCTTGTTATTTTTCTGTGGATATAATAAATTTATTATTCACTATTTTTATTATTATTATAATTTTTTTTAATTATAAAATTAATAAATTTTAAATATTTTTTTCTGTTTGGACCCACTGTGGTTTACTTTTTTTTTTCTTTTTAATTTTTCCACTGGTCTCTCATTCGTATATTGTTGCTTTATCACTATTGCTTTCCACTGATCACTGTTCTGTATTCGTATGCATGTGTGTGTGTTTTGCCAGGGTCTACTGTTTTGTTGAAACACTTATTTTTTGTTCTTTTTTGGATGTCTTTTTTTTCCACTTTGTTTTTTGTTATAACACTTTTGTTGAATGTATTTTCATTTTTTGATTTATTGTTCACTCACTGTTTGCTTTGGTTTCTTTTTGTTGTTCAATTTTTATTGTTCACTTATGAGTACCGTTCACTTATGAGTCAGTTCACTTATTATGAAATTTTTATATTGTATTTTAATTTCACTTCACTTGCACTTTTTTTAATTTATTTATTAAAAAACACAATCTGGCTCGTCAAGGACCAAATGTTTTTAACTTTACCTTTGACCTTTTTTCCTTTTTTGTTAATTTATTGGATATTTAATTTGTAATTGTATTTCATGTGTTGTTTTATTGTAATTCAAATCTTTGTTGTTTGTGTGTATGTACAAATGTTTTAATTGTTTAATGTATAATTTTGTTTGTTGTAACTTAATTTGTTTAATTTAGAATTTGTTTTACGTTAATTATGTACAATGTTGTAATTCATTTTTTTTGGTGTTTGTACAATGTTAATGTTGTTTTTTTTATAATGTAATGTTGTGTAATGTAATTTAAAAAATAAAATAAAATGTCACTTCTTTCTTCACTGGGCACTTGTCGATGATTTTCGCGGGCACTTGTCGCTTCACGGGGCACTCGATGATTTTTATGTTGTCGCTCTCAAGATGGTTGACCAACTGTCCGGGAATATTCTGCTTTGGGCTGCCAGAGCTGTTGAATATTCCAGGATTTATTGGAAAGTGCTTGGCTAGCGGCAGCACGTATGCATGTATTTGTTAATATGCACCAATGTACATATTGTGTACCGCTAGCCGAAAAATTTAAAATTCAAACGCACAGTAGCGACCAAAAGTATGGTCACTGACCATACAGGTCATTCAAAACATTTTTCAAAATTCACGATTGTTGCTCCTCGGTCAGTGTCCAAGAGGTTACAGATATACGTACAAAATCCTGAATTTATGGTTAAATATTCTTTTAAGATATTTTTAAAAAAATCTAGTAATTGGCTTGAGAGTCATTTCAAATATTCTTCAAAAAAGTCACATTCTAGATTCTCTATTAAGTTCACAATATCTGTTAAGGAAAACCTTACAAAAATTATCTAATTCTTTCAATATTTTCAAAATTCTGATCACATTTGGAAGATGTGCCAAAAAGAATTGGCCCATTTTTAACCTTGATCTTTGGAAAATTTTAGGAGAAGTATAAGAAAGAATGGAGCATGTCGCCCATCTTTGACCCCGATTTAAGTTAAGCGCGATGAAGCACTTTTTGACAATATATTCTCTCTGTGGCAATAAGACATACATACATTTTATTTGAATTACGAGAACCATAGTACTTCAAATGAATTAAAATGACAAGATCAAAATATCCTCACAAAACCGGTCCCATAAACACAATTCATTTCCCTTATTCCCTAGAGAACTTCAAGTGATGCATCCAATGGCATTAATTGTCTTCTAAGTTAAAAAGAAACAACCTCAAAACCCTTCAACGACAGTCTGTGTTTTTTTTTTGCTAAATGAAAAGCAACAGGATTGCGTTACATAGTTAGATGGAAAATGCTTCTCATATCTGCAATTGCTTGTGGCAAGAACGTTCCGAAGGAAGCACCAACAGATAGTAGCAGCCACTGCTTGGAATATTCCATGACACATGTCCGGCTACCAAGTGACACGTGCTAAAATATGTTAAATTTTTAGTTGCTAGCAACAAAGTTTATTAACATCCACTTTACCAAGTGTGGAGCTACATTCAGACAAACACACACACACATAGGAGAAATGTGGTAGAATATTTCCACACATATGCATACAATGATGTAAAGTATGTTTCCTCCAGTATGTTATGCATCATTAGAAGAATGTTGAGTTTATTTAATTTTGTCTCTTTTCGAGATCTCTTTGCCGGTATTTGCTTGCAGAAAAAAGCTACCTGTTTTTGTGACAATATGATTTGTTAGCTATGTGTAGTGTTGGAATTCTGTAGATTTGGAATCTTGAAATTTCGGTGCCATTGCAATTTAATTTATCAATTAAATGACATTGGACTGTCACGAATAATGCGAATATCTTAATTGAATGTCTCTTTGAGGTAATTTTTCAAATAATTAATTGAAGGTTTTCCTTTGGAGTAATTCGCATTGTTCAAATGAAATACTTGTTGGTGAGGGGGGCATAAAGAACTGAAATTGGATGGAATGTAAGGGAAACCTTTTAAAATGACAATTAATAATTCAGTTAATGATAAATTATTATTATAAATTATTATTATAAAGTATCTGGTTTGTTATCTGTTATAAAAATAATCATTTCAAAAGTGTCAGTCGGTGTTGCCGACAGATATATACCCTCAGCCAGTGTTCGATAATTTAAATATATTTTAACTTCTTTTATGATTATTCAAATTGTTGACCCTCTATGGAGTAGGTTCCGAAGGAATGAGCCAATACTGTCAACTCCTATCGGACTCAAGTAGATATGATATAAATATTGCGACATGCCAGGTTTCGACTATATAAGAAACTTCCTTCACTTTGTATGAGATATGTGATAATTTTTAGAAAATGTTAAAATGTGCTTGTGGTACCAGGTATAGTCGACCGAGGATTTCAATTTCATATAAGGTCACAATATCGTATATTCCTCATACAACGTTACCGTCCGATATTCGGTATATTGTCGGAAAATCATACAAGGAGTTCCTTGTTAGTACTTTACCGATTAGAAGAGAACTGTCTAAATAGGTCCACGTTTTAGTATAGCGCGCATATTACGATACCCCCAAATATTTGGTATTTTCATGATTTTTGAGACATTATTCGCCGGAATTGTTTCAAATTTCGTATATAAAGTTCGGAACCATTACTACAGTTTATGACACAAATTACTTATGCAGGACCACGTTTTCGTGTAGTCCCCATATAATGGCTTTAATTTGAGCGCTATTTTTCGACGGAATTTTTTTGAAATCAAGTTTCCTCCAAATGTAAAAAGTTCTGCTAAGCTGCTTTTTTACTTGTCATACTTCATCTAATACAGGTAAAATATTGGTATGGGCAAAATCACAAGATAATCGAACATTTCTGTCCAATTTTATGCAAAATTCCATATTCATCTCAGATTTCTGGATGCTAGAAATATTTAGATACATCAAGTTATAAAGAATCGCTGACTTGTTTCGCAAGTTATGACAGATAAAAGCATTGGAAATTATGTCCCTTTGTGGGTGAGGTACCACATGATTTTTATAGATACATAACATCTTCACAATAGATCTTGTGTTCGTAGAAACAATGGGATGTGTGAAATTTGAAGAGAGTTGGATGCTTATTTCGTTTTCTTTGAGCGCTTTGTTTTTCAAAATCTTGAACCCTATGTGGGGAAGGTACCAGAAGAAATATTCCGATCTCTATCATCTTTATAGCAGATATTATGTTGATGGAAATATTGAGATGTATCAGGTCTGAATGGAATCGGATGTTTATTTCGGGTTTTGTGAGTTTCATGGATACTCAGGGTTTTGACCTTTTGTGAGGGAGGTACCAGAAGGAGTGGACCGAAATATCCCATCTTCACACCAGACCTTGGGTTAATGATACGTATTTTTGATATTTTCGATATTATGATCGTTTTGGTTATTCAAAACTTTGGCCCTTTGTGGGGGAGGTATCAGAAGGAATGGTCCGATCTCTACCATCTTTATAACAGATTTTATGTTGATGGAAATATTGAGATGTACCAAGTCAGAATTAAATCGTATGTTAATTTCGCGTTTTATGAGCTTCATCAATATTAAAAATGTTGACCCTTTGTGGGGAAGGTACCAGAAGAAGTGGATAGATGTATCCCATCTTCACACCAGACCTTGGGTTAATAAAAGTATTGTGATGTGTGTAATTTGAACACAATCGGACCCTAACATCATATTTTATAAGAGTTATAATTATTCCAAATTTTGACCCTTTGTGGGGAAGGTACTTGATGGAGTAGATCGATATTATCCATTTTCGCCCCTTACCTAGCGCTGATGCAAATAATAGGATTTGCAATGTTGGAGTGAAATCGCATTATCTTTTCTCTTTCTGTGCAGTAAAATATATTTTTTTTTGAAAATTTTGACCTTTTGTGGGGTAGGTACCACAAGGAGTGGACCGATACTATCCATCTCCGAACACGATCTAAGTTTGACAATAATATTACGATGTACTAATATTGTATAAAATCAGATGCTCGCTTCGAAAGCTATCTGGCTGGCCTAGGATGTTTCAACCAGTTTTGCCAAAAAGACTAAATATAGCCCTTTATTAATACCTCCACAAGAGTCAGCGAATTTCTTTGCTTTGGAACCAATTAGTACGAGCTAAAAATTAAGACAAGTAAGCAAAGGCTACAGTCGAACGGAGCCGACCGTTGAATACCCTACAACACTATAATAAGTGATACAGTTTATATAGGCGAGATACTCGAAAGAGTTCCACAAGATATTGTGACAAATAATAAAAGAAAACCATCAGGTTTCGTTCTATAATTTTCGAATAATAACAACTTAAGCTAATTTGCTCATTTCCAATTTATTGGTAGATGTTGCACGTAAATGGTCTTCCTAGATCTGGAACCAATATTTCCCAAACACCTATAATCTCTCAGAAGTGGCAAAAGATTAACATTTATTATTGGTTTTTGACTGAAACGCATCTATATGAGATACAGACATTTGACTATATTCTTCAACGAAATCAGCGTTAACGAAATAGTCAGAAGTGGGTCTTTCCTGTATTTGTGAATTCTCCAAAAAGTCACTGGAATGGACATTTTTGTATTTTGTCTACAAAAGTTGGCAAACTATTTCGCACATTGAATATTTTTGGATGGCCTTCCAAAACTGCTTGGCTTTTGCAATGTCCGGTAACCCCCATTCACATGTGCGTGAGGGTGGGGCGATAATTACGACTTGCTGACAATTTTACAGTTTTTTGGTCCATTTCAACCGCTAAATATATGGCGATCATCTCCAAGAAGAGCAGGCTTCTATTCTGACCCTCATCTTATCCCAATGCAAAATTTCGTAAGGATCGGGCCATAAATGCGATCTGTATATGATATCCTGATATCCTAACTACTTAGTTTTGTTAGCTGTAGAAATATTACCAAATGTTTAATTCAAAATGAAAATATGCAAAAAATGTGACAAAATTGAAAAAAAAAATGAGAAAATTGTACAAAATCAATATTTTCATCTTTAGAGAGATATTTTTATG